CAAAGAGATGCTTGCCACAAAAGAGTCTGCTCAGATGTATGCAGAGCGTATGGCAGAACTTGCTACTGCTCTTGGCTTTGATGGGTGGCTGGTGAGCATTTTTGTTTGATTTTTATGTACTACTCAAGCATTTATAATGTAAAATATCTGCATATGTAACACACTGGTGAAGTGGTGTGAAGAAAGGTTTCCTTTAACATATAAGATTGTTACTTGCAGATTAATATAGAGAATGATATAGATGAGGAGCAGATTCCAAATTTGAAGGAATTTGTAAGCCATCTAAAAAAAGTCTTGCATTTATCTACACCTGGGGCTCTGGTTATATGGTGAGTTGCTCAGAAAATTTTCCTTTGTTCTTTTGGTAATCCACTTTGATCTGATAACTTTCTGCAGGTATGACAGTGTCACTATTCACGGTAATCTTCAATGGCAAGATCAATTGACTGAGCTGAACAAAACCTTTCTTTGACTTATGCGATGGAATATTCATGAACTATACATGGAAGGTCTGTCTATGGGTTTGATCAATTTCTCAAGTCTCAGTTTCTTCTATATGTCTTGTTTTTGATATGAGTGAGTGATGATGTTTCAGGAGAGCTACCCAAAACTATCAGCTGAAGTTGCCGGGGACAGAAAGTTCGACGTCTACATGGGAATTGATGTCTTTGGTCGGGGCTCTTTTGGTGGTGGGCAATGGACTGTATGTCTTAAACACTCTTTAATATCTGCTTCTCTATTGGTGTAGAGTACTAAACAATGATCTGTACTTAAATATTTCTTTTCTTCCTATTCTTTTACATGCTAGGTAAATGCTGCTCTTGATTTGCTGAAGAGAAACAATGTGTCAGCGGCCATATTTGCTCCTGGATGGGTTTATGAGACTGCACAACCCCCCAATTTTCATACAGCTCAGAATAAGTAATACTTTAAATATATTGCAATTTCCTTGTCATCTTTAAAGTTTGAACTAGCATTACTGTGACTGTGAGCTTAAATTTAACTATTGCTGTAAAGGAGACACTGGATCTTATTAGTATGCATGTGTTTTCTCTTCAGATGGTGGTCACTTGTCGAGAAGTCATGGGGAATAGTCCAAACTTATCCACAAGTCTTGCCTTTTTACTCAGATTTCAATCAGGTAAGGTGAGATTGATCGTCTTATTTTTAACACTAAAACCATGGTAAATTTTGCATTGATTTCCTTGGTTATGATTATGTTCAGCTATGTCCTGAAACTTTCTTCTCTCTTTTGTTCAGGGATTTGGTTACCATGTTTCACTTGAAGGTCGCCAACTGTCAGATGCTCCATGGTACAACATTTCTTGCCAAAGTCTTCAGGTTCAACTATCTTACTATCTTTGGTTTTGCTGCACACATCTAATGTTTACATGAACCAAAAACTTTTCCTGCCACAACATGACAATTGTTCTTCTTGATCTGCGTTTGTCTCTCCTCTCATCTGATCTCCGTGTTTGTTGTGTTCTTCACATCAGCCTCTCTTAGAATTCAATGAAGAAGACAACAAAGATATCATCCACGTCACTGTTGAGTGAGTTCTGGCCCTAATACTATCCTCATATTTATTTCGGCAAAAAGGGAAAATGTTTTTGACATTTCTGAGCAAACATTTAAACAATTACTATGAATTTGATAGTGCTCGAGAGGGATCTTTTAACAGAGGAGGGAACATTGCTTTTAGAGGAAAACTCAAGGGAGATGCGTATTTCACAACAAGGCTCTTCAAACCCCATCTTCAGCTTTCATCTTCCCCCATCACAATCTCCTACTCTGTAAGTCTCTGCTTCTAGATATATCACATTATGAGATCTTGTTGTTTTTACTCATGGGGGATTTTGGAGCTGGTGCAGGTGAAATCAGATGAAACCTCTAAACTTGGAATCCTGCTTTCTTTCTCATCTCCATCACAGAAGACGAAATCCATTCTCGTTGCGCCCCAAGAATCCATCCGTAGATTCAACGACATGTTCTTACAGTGTCTCGCCACATCAGCGCAGACTGTATCTGAGTGGACGGTGCACGAGACAAGCCTTGTCATGGATGGTCACACACTGACTGAAATCTCTGCCTTTTGCTACAGACCAGAGAATTTGACAAAGAGTGTAGAATATGTTGCATTGCTCGGACACATCTCAATCAAAGATCATGTTCAGTACCAGCAGAAATCCGAGACTTTACTTCCAGCTTCATCGTGGGTCATCAAGGCTGATAACGTAGAGCTTGTACCAGGAAATTCCGGTTCCAAGATCCTCAGGGCTAAGCTCGAATGGAGACAAAAACACCTAGAAGATTCTGTGCTCCCAAGGTACAATGTATATGCAGAGAATGTGAACTCCACTGATCTAAGACCGAGGAAAGTTCTAGAGAAACCGAGAAGTGAGACAGTGTTCCTTGGAGTTGTTCACGTACCAGCCTATTATGTAGCGGAACTGGTGGTAGAATCAGACGTGAAAGCAGTCCGTTTCGTGGTTCAAGCATGTGCCGAAGATGGTTCATTAGGGAAGCTGGATGAAGCTCTTAACCTTCTTGTGGAACTAGAAGGTATCTCATCTAAATATATATCGTAGGTTGTTTGACACCAAAATCACGATTGAAAACGACATTGTATATACTGAAAAAATTATTGCAAAAATTAATTGCAATCTATAAGTGTACCAAAAAATATTGATCTAAATGTATCCAAAATTATTTTGCATTTACATAGCGTTAATTTATACTATAAGTAAAAAGGATAATCAAAATTAATTTAATCGATGGGAATTATAAGAAAAAATTCTGAACACATATAATTGCAAAATCTTATTCTTCTTTTTGTTTATTAATTTCTTCCTATCCCAAAATTTGTATTTTAAAGTATGAAACATTTGTTCTCACTGGTTTTATAGTACACGTACACGACGCCTTTAATTTGCTCAAGGCTGATTCTAGAGACACCACGCGTATGCCACAAGCCTTTTCTAGTCTTTCCACGTGTCCAACGAACAGATAACCACGTCATTCCCATCCCTAACCCATCGCCGTCTCTTAAACCTCTCTCACCGTTCGCTTACTCCGACGTCTCTACAGAGAATCTCACTTTCGTTACTTTCTCTCTCTAGATCTTACAAAACAATGTTGCTCAAAGCTTCTCCCGCTCTCTCTCTCTCTTGAGCTCTGGCTCCGGCTCCGGCAGCGGAGGAAATCTGTTTCCGCCGTCGAGAAATTCGTCGAATCTTCTATTTCATCCGAGTGGATCTAGGTTTTCTATTCAGGCGGCGAAAGGAACGAACACAAAGTCGTTAACCGGAGTTGTATTCGAACCATTTGAGGAGGTGAAGAAAGAACTGGAGCTCGTTCCCACTACCCCTTTTGTTTCTCTCGCTCGCCACAAGTTCTCTGACGATTCTGAATCTGCCATCAACGATCAGATCAAGTATGTGCTCTTGCTTAGTTTTTGCTTTATTGTGTCTCTATTTTTTCGAATCTCTTCTCTAATAATCATCCCAAATCGAAAAATGTTGAAGGAATCAGAATCCTGTTTATTCAGTCAGCCTTAAGATTGCATTGATTGATTAATATCTTCCCAAATGATCATCCTTTTCTACTGATTCAGCTTCGATTCACTTATCATGGTGCTGCTAATCTGAATCGCAATTGTTCATATCTTGCTTTCAATGATTTTACATGTGGGAATCGAGTTAGCTAGGTTGGTACGTGACCATGTGTATGAATCTTAACGTCTCTTATTTGCTTTTTGTGAATCTTAGTGTGGAGTACAATGTCTCCTATGTCTACCATGCCCTGTATGCTTACTTTGACAGAGACAATGTCGGCTTGAAAGGTTTCGCCAAGTGAGTTTCTTCTTTAGTCTAATGAAAAACCGTAGTTTTGTCTTTTCAGCTGGTGGATCATCTTTTTGTTATTGTTGTGGGTTTAACTCTGATAGGTTCTTTAACGATTCGAGTCTTGAAGAAAGAGGTCATGCTGAGAAGTTTATGGAGTATCAGGTATCATTTCAAAAATCTACCAGGTTATGGACCTTTCATAGTGTTTCTTATGTTTGATGGATTTGATTTTCAGAACATGCGCGGTGGGAGAGTGAAGCTGCAGTCTATTTTGATGCCCGTCTCTGAGTTTGATCACGAGGAGAAGGGAGATGCATTGCATGGTAAGTTGATTCAAGCTCATTAAGCTTTGTTGTAGCAGTAGTTTGATAATCTTTGAGAGTAATATAGATCTTAGTAAGCCTCATATATTCTACCACTATCAAATTTTATTATCAAGCTCTTTGTGATTTTGACTCTTCCCTGAATCAGCGATGGAGCTTGCACTGTCTTTGGAGAAACTTACTAATGAAAAGCTTCTGAAGTTGCAAAGTGTAAGGACCTTATCTTTTCATCAGTTATTTCAGTATCACAGAGCACACTTTGACAGTTAAAACTTAAAAAAGATGATTAGATTAATCTCTCTCCCCTGTTTGATCCTGCAGGTTGGTGTGAAGAACAATGATGTTCAGCTGGTTGATTTTGTAGAATCCGAGTTTCTCGGCGAGCAGGTAAAAACAAAAGTTTTCACATTATTATTACTTCAAAATACGTACCGATCCTCATGTACTTGGTAAAAACAGGTTGAAGCCATCAAGAAAATCTCAGAGTACGTTGCACAGCTAAGAAGAATAGGAAAGGGTCATGGTAAGTCCTTAAAAACCCCTCAAAGATAAACCTCAAAACTGCAATTGCACTTTCTTTTGGGTGTTTCATTAAATCGCCTTCCGGTGTGAAAACTGCAGGAGTGTGGCATTTTGATCAAATGCTTCTCAATGAGGTTTAAGGAAAAAGAGTTCAGCTTTTGAGTTAGCTCACAATCTTCCTTGTGCTGTACGGCACCGTTCTATCTTTATAACGACGTCTCTAAGTTTGGTCGGAGAAAAGTTGTTTTGCTCGTTCTTTGTTTTCTTTGTTTTGGTCAACCGAATGCTTGAGAGTTGTGAGTGTTAATACTCAATAAATGTAACTTGTAGTCTGATAATAAATGCAAGTCCCACTGCTTCAATGCCATAAATATGTTTTATTTGACACAAAAGTTCGGATTTAATTATCACATCATAAATATCCTGATCCCGAAACTCCGAAATTTTGGAATGGAACGGATCTCGTAGCAAAGTACGTGTCGTTTATGACATATCGAAACGGCATGGCGTTGGAAAACTGTCTCTTGAAGAACCACTAAAATGA